GCAGACAGGAGGTGAGTTACTTGTTGCAGGATTCCTAGCCTCTGACATGCTTTTGCAAACACAGTATTTATATTGATAGTCCAGTCACTTTCTGGTCAATAGTAATCGCAGAATATTGATACCACAGGATTCAGTGATGTTAATGCCATTGACTGCCAAACAGTAGTGACTTGATTTTCTCTTGTTGAAGACGGTCATTGCCTAGCACTGTGTGATGAGAATGCTGCATGCCACTTGTCTGTCCAAACCTGGATATGGCTCAGGACATGCTGCAGTTGGATACAGACTGCTTCAGTATCTGAGGAGTCGCAAATGGTGCTGAACATTGTGCAATCATCAGCAAATATCCCCACTTCTGACCTTATGATGGTGGGAAGGTCATTGATGAAACAGCTGAAGGGCTAGGGTTGGGTCTAGGATGCTACCCTGAGGAACTCCTGCAGAGATGTCCATGGGCTGAGATGGCTGACCTCCAACAACCACATCCATCTTTCTTTGTTCCAGGTATGACTCCAACCAGCAGAGAGCCCTCCCTTTGATTCTCATTGACGCTAGTTTTGGTCAGGGTCCTTGATGCCACACTCGACCAAATACAGCCTTGATGTCAGGGGCAGTCACTCTCACCTCACCTCTGGAGTTCAGCTCTTTTGTCTATGTTTGGACCAAGGTTGTAATGAAGTTAGGAGCCTAGTGGCCCTGGCAGAAGCCACACTGAGCGTCAATGAGCAAGTTAATGCCAAACCAGTGCTGCCTGAGAGCACTGTTGATGACACTTTCCTTTATTTTATTGATGATAAAAAGTTGATTGAAGGGGCAGTATTTGGCTGGGTTGGATTTGTTCTGGTTTTTGTGTACAGGACGTACCAAAGAGAAGTGCAGGGCAGTGTGCTGGTTAAAGACATTAAGTCAATATGTGTTAGAAATCCAAAGTAGAAGCTTTCATGGTATATTAACTAATGACATCATCAGAACAAGTCACTTCTGCCTTTGGAATTTCCTTTTGCTATTAGAACAGAAATGCCACACAGGGACATGAAGAATTTTTAGTTTGTTAATTCATTGTATTCCATTTAATAAGTTGATTGTGGCACTGAAACATTCTGATGTATTTAAATTCACAGCGTGGAAATACGATCCCTCACATATTTGTTGAAGTTGTTTATACCAAAAGCTTAAAACAATCAAAGTTAACATTCTAGGATATTTGAATTTGTAGGGTCTGTTTATGTCAGGATCATACGTATACACCATTGGCTTCACTGTTCCACCCTGTAAAATATAATCAAATATCATTGACACATGAAGATTTGTCAATGGTGTGACTGAGGTTTGAATGCTGGTCATGGTCTTCCAAACAAAAGAAGCACAATCTGAGATCATGCTCCAACCTCTTCAAGCAAATCTGACCAGGTAGGCAGGTGTTGTTGCCCTTATGTTAAACAGGGTATCAGTAACCCGTCTTTAGAGAATTGTTTGAATAAAAAACAGATATATGCTCACCTTTCCCTGGCTATACAGAATGATACTTCCTATTAACTGATTGGGAAGCAGTATTAAAAGAGGTCTGAGACTCAGATGGCTTCACTACCGGTTTCAAGGGGATAGGTGGCAGAAATGGGGATATGACAAGAAACTTCCCCTTCCCCCACCTCCCTCAAAAAAGAGCATATCTGTTTCACTATGTAATCCAAGCATTTCAATTAAGGGATAACTGAATACCAGACTGTTTTCCCTCTAAGTACTGAATATACCATTACCAAATCTGTAACAAAAACACAGGTTCAAAGATACAGATGCATTCTACAACATCTGAAGCTCTGATTCTCATTCTAGCCTTATTTCACTGTTTTAGATGATAACAGTAGCTGTACCATTCACCACCAAATCAATTTCATAAACAGAAAATAGTAATATCAAATAACTCAACCAGAACTAATGTTAGTTTTTTAAAAATCCAGTCAAAAAGACAATTCACTATATAATGTTTAAGGCCAGTGACTTTCAGTTATACCCAGTTACTAATATCTTTATTCAAATGCAGATTATTATTTAAACTTGCAGCAAAGTATTTTCTTAAGCACTTCAACTCAGGAACTATGTCAATAGAGTAATGCAAAGTTATGATAATCGGATCGTATATTCTCATATATATCTTAACTTTAAGACCAGCTAAACATGTATATTCCATTACCCACTCCCTCTCCCTGCAAACAAACTATACAACAGTCAAGGTTCATTCATTGCAGCTTCACAGCAAATGCATAAACATTATGTAACAACTCATACCAATGATCGTTTTCTTAATCTAGGAGGGAGGACAAAAATCGCACTAATTCCTCTGTATTTCTGCTCGCAAGGGAAGCAATTTGATCCCTTGCCGGCTGTAACTTGAGTAGGTCACTGTACACTATGATAAAATTCCCTAATCCTGAGCCAAGTTACCCCGAGGGGCCCCTCCTCCTCCTCTTCCCAAATGGACTTTCTCATTCCTTTGCTCTAACCCCCCCCCCCCGCTCGCTGCGCCCTTTGCCCCCCCACCCCCCCAAACCACCGCCCCCAGCGCCACTACCACATCTCTTTCATTTTCTCTTACCTTAAAGCTTGAAAGCTGATCTGCTTTGCCTGCTCGTGTTACAGTTTTTACAGCTTAGGCTAAAGTCGACTGCCTATTGCTGTATGCATTCCTTTCTTTTTAGTTTACCCTGATTACTTTCCACGGTTATTTTACACTGATCCAGATGAAAGTCAGTCAAATGAAAGAAACACACTGAGACTTTCTTCTAGTTTTTCAGATATGAATCCACACAAGGGTACATTGTGTTCTTAAAATTTAACGAGAATCCAACGAGCTCACTTTTAATTATATAATTCAGGAATATTTCAGTCACAGATAAAGATAACATTTGAAGTATATTTTCTGTCAGAATTTCAACACTTTAAGAGAGGTACAATAGTTAAACTTAAATGATTTTTGACCTTAAACTAATAAACAGTTCCTGACTTTAAATTGCATAGCCACTTTACGAAAAATACAGTTAGCAAAGGCAGTGACTTATGGCATCTATCTTCATTAAAAAGCGGATGAGAACGCTCTGTGTGCAAAGACACTATTTAGACGGAATGGAGCTTATCATGAAGCTAGAAAAGTGAGACTTCTTTACAAAACAAGAATTTATCTCCACCCCAAACAAGTTTTATCCTGGATCACACTTACAAAAGTGAAAATGCCAAGCTACAGGCACACTAGTTCAGCTTACGCAGTTTTGCCCCCACCCTTTCAACTCCTACCCTCCCCATTCACAACCGCCCCCCCCAAACACTTCACACAATGTTGTTTTTGTTTCTTCCTCTGCAGTTCAGACAAACATCTGTTATAGAGGAATGACTATCTCACAAACCGCTGAGTCTTGCTGCAGCCAAAGTAAACAAAACAATCCCAGAGAATCTAGCAACCATCCCGCACAGTCAGCCTTTATACCCACCAGGATAAAATTTCACAGCAACATGTTTTTATCAAAATTAGTTAATTTGTAATCCTAAATTCTAAATATTCGCACAATAAAGAGCCTGATTTTTTAAAAATTATTTTCCAAATTTCAACACCTCCTCTCAGTGGCGCAACTATTCAATGGAATGTAATGCACAAGATTTTCTAACAGAACAGCAAGCCAGGCTATACAATATCACATTTAGATTTCAAATAGATTAGCAAATAAAGCGATTAACAAATATGATGAATAATATAAACTTTTTCTGATGAATCTCATCGCACGTCTGCATGAAGACGAAGTACTCGTTCTAGCACTTGTAATTGTTCAATAAACTAAAGCAAGCTGAAATAATTTGTTAACATAATTTAACAAGAGTACCAATGGGGAAAATAACAGTTTTACAAATAAAACAAGTCATCAAGGTACTTGATCAAGTGCCTTGTTGCAGTCCATCAATCAAGGCGTTTGGGAAATGGAGATACAAGGACAATACAAAAACTAAACTTAGAGATGATCAATGGGTAGGTAACAGGCTTCAGTCCATCAGAATTTCCGACCACCCATAAAATATTTGCACTGAAGCATTGTTCCCTTTGCTGTTTCAAAAAGAAAATTGAATATAATGGCACTAATACTTTATATGTCAAGATACGTTTCACATATTCAAGGATTTAAAGAAACAGTATAAATGATCAATGGAACAATGAGTCCAACACACACATCTGGAGTACACCTCCTCAAACACATGCCTAGTCCCTACCTCCAAACATCTGGGCACTGACAGGAGGCAACTCATTTTGTAGGAAATACTGTTGAATTAGCCGGGGGAGGAGGAGCGGAGGAAGGAGGAGGCGAGAAATCTTTCTTTAACTAGAATAAAATAGTGAATGTAACGGTGAGGGGAGGTGACAGCTGTCTTTCGACGAGCCCGCATATTATTAACGGGAAACCAGTCGAAGAGTTGGGGGGGTGGGGGTAGCTGAGATATTTAATGATTAAAATTAAGGTTTGGTCGGTATCTTCACAGAGTCCGGGTACTGTAGTCGCAGCCTCCTCATTTCACTTTGACAATTTAATTACAGATCTGCCCCTGACTGATATAAAGACAGCACCAAACCGCTATAAATGCAGTAAGATGCCTACTCATTAACTCCAGCCAGCATCACTGGATCACCAAATCTGCAAATCAGACCTGCTTCTTTTTAAATTATTGTTACAATACGTTATATGGATTCGACGTGTTATCGTTAAATGGGGAACGGGGGAGGAAGCAAGAGACGCATAAACCTCTGAGAGCATTTCAGCTTTGATTTTTAAAAGATTTTTTTTGGTACAAAAACATACCACGGCTGTTTGAATGCCCCTAGACGTCCCACCTTTATTATTATTGTTAAAACACTGGAGACAAAACATCAACAACAACGACAACAAGAAAAGCCAGACAGATGGGACGCGGAGCAATTGGTTCAGACTGAGCCCCCGGTTGAAAGCAGTGACAGGAAGCCGTACCTTCATCTCCTCGTTTATTTCCCTCTTGACGGGGTGAGCCGGCTTTCTGCTTCTCTTGTTTTCCGGCGGTCTGCCCTCCTTCTCCATCTCTGCCATGGTTTATGTGTGTGTGTGTGTGTGTGTGTGAGAGAGAGAGAGAGGAGGGAGGGAGAATCCACTCAACCTCCCTCCTCCACCCCGAGCTGTCACAAAACCTTCTCTCCCACCGAAATGTGACGCCGGCGACTTTAGCCCGTGTGTTGGATTTTTTTTTGTTAATATGAGGAATATATTTTTCCTCCACCTCTCTCTCTCTTCACCCCCTCCCTCCCTCTCTCCCTCCCTCAATGGTCGGCTGTCATTGTTGAGGTGAGGAGAGCGGCAGTGGAGATGTGCCTGTTAACACCAGAGAGGACTGCATCTGGACAGCCGAGTCAGCCATCTTCTATATCCTCCCACCCCCTACCCTTCTATCTATCTATTCCTCGCCCCCTCCCTCTCTCTCTCTCGGAGTTTGCAGCCGAGCGGGCGGTGAGACGCCACGGATTTGCGGACAGCCCACTTTTTGCAATGGGATGACACACACACACACATTCACAGAGAGAGACAGACAGATCCAGAGAGAGGGAGGGAAGGGAGAGGAGAGAGGGCAGGGCAGGGGAGGAGTCTCCTCCCTCTCTCTCTCTCTCCCCCCCTCTCCGCCCCCCTCCAACACAGTTTGACAGCAGCAAAGCAACGCCATGTTCCTGAGGTGACTGTGGCCCTCTTTCCGCTCATTCATAATCCCTTCCCCACACAAACACACATAATCGCGACACTCGGCTTCCTTTTGTCTTCGGGATAACTTTAACCGAGGATGCAAATCACGTCCCAGCGCTGCTCCCGTTCCGGTCGCCGTCTTAAAGGGATCATGTTGATCTAGTACAGTATATCTTTTTTGCTTCTTATTTTAAACATTTGAATGGCCCATTAAGGATGATGTCGGGATGGGGAGTGTGTGGGCTTTAACAGGCGACTCTGTGCATTGAGCAGTGCTGCTGGATTAAACTCAGTCCGGGATTTGTACTTTCGACAGTTTGAAGGGCCAGTTGATGGTTTGTGAGTCGCACCTTTACAAGGTGTTATTTCGCTTACAATTTCACGCATGCCCCGCCAGTTGTGGTGCGGTTTTGTATTAGAAAGGTGCCGCCTTCATACTACAGACAACTGCTATCCCTTTTTGTTCTGATTTGCGAACATTGAGATGACAACAGCAGTGGTCAACACTCAGCTAAGGGGCTCATTCTGGGGAATGCTTTACGATACAAAAGCCGTTTGCCGAATAATTTTCGTGGAAATAATACCCTTTAACATCGATGCTATGAAAATGTTCAGGCAATCTGATGATTTGGAGTGCTCTAACTGATATGTCTGTATTTAAAATAAAGCAGCCACAAGCAACGAAATACACCTGTACAGGTAACATCAGCCGATAGGGACAATCATAAAGCCATCCTGATCAGGGAAGTCTTCTAACTAGACTCAACTCTGTAAATAATGAAATATTGTCTCACTTACATCCAGTTTCTTAGCTAACTTTGAAACCTTAAAGAGTACTCTTTGTAAGAAAAGTTTTTTTGGCAAAATTCTCTTCCGCTGTGTGATAAATCCATGACGTGATGATACCAATTATACTGAAATATAAGAGCGAATACCTGTACACATTTGGCGTCCCAAAAGAAAACTGCGCAACAGCAGTTAACAAAATCAATAGAACGTTAAATTATTTACTCAAAATAGGAGTCAGAATCGCGAATCAGATTCAAATCACTAGAGGTTACGCGCAAAGTGTGCAATGGTCTGATCGGATCACACCTTTAATCCGCTGTCCCATTCCGGTTATCAGGGCACAGGGGACATGTTCTGATACTGCAGAAAAGGTGCTTAACGCAATCGGTGTTTTTGGAAATGATGGAGGATTGGGGGTGTTTATAATATTGAAAGGAGGCATCTTATAGAGCTATAGAAGATAGTGGAGGTTATGGGCGACTGAAAATTAAATAGAAAATTTATTGATTACATGTTCAAATTAATAAATGTAAGTTTAGAAGTTCTTCTTCACACACAGGGTGTTCAATAAAATAAAGTAGAGGCACATAAAAACAAATCATGTGGATTGGGTGACTGCTGGGTGTTTCTGAATTGCAGAACTAGGATGAGCTAAATTGCCGACCTCACCTGAGTAGCAGTCCTGATTATCATAACAAAAATTATATGTTGTTTTTCTAGAACCTTTCCTTCCCATTAGGATGTTCATCAATTACTTCTTTTATATCGTCAATACTAACATAAACACGCTATTGATAGGGAATTTTTAAATAGAGGAACAAAAAGGAGACATAATCTCTTGCAGAAGAAGCGGTGAAAGAGAAAAAAAGTTTGTCCAATTCAAAGGACTGCAGGAGAATTTTCTCATAGCTGAGCTCAATAAAACAGATTGAGATGTCAACGTTAGAAATCATTTTGCTATCATTCTTACAATGCTTCCAATGACACTTATGGTAACATTCAAAAAGACAATACAGAGCTAATGTTTTGGTGTAAGTATAAAGCATAAAAAAGCAGCTCTAAAGATGTTAGCCTAAACAATTTAGCTTTGGGGATTTATGCAATGATATAATGGTGTTGATCCTACTTTTCCCAATTTAGTAAACTAGGTTGAGATTCATCAAGGAAACAAAAGGATAATTAGAAGCATGGAAACAGAGAGTGGTCAAAGGAATGAAAGAAGGCCATAATTTGAGGTAGATGAATGGTTGACTAGGACAAAAGATCAGGCACATTACCAACATTTCAAACCTAGTCCACACTACACAGATCGCAAATTTTACTGAAATGTCTCTATGTTTATTTAGAGACAGGACCCTGGATTTTTCTTTCTTTGATATGTTAGACATTTCTTTTCATATTCTAGACCTAACATTTCCAAAGTCTAAAAGAAGAGTAGTGGGGAAAATATTTTGATTATGATGTTTTCCATGTTAAAGGTTTGTTTTTTTTCCAAATCTGTCTGTGCTTTCAGGAAGTATAGCTAAAATGTTATAAATTCTAAAAAAGAGTGGTTAACAAAAGAAGGAGAGAAGCAGACACACACTGTAATGATCTGTTAATCCAGAAATCCAGGTAATGCTCTGGTGGGGTTAAAATTGTTTCAGAGATAGTAGGAACTACAGATGCTGGAGAATCTGAGATAACAAGGTGTAGAGCTGGATGAGGATAGATAAGTACCCTGGGCCAGATGGGATATACCCAAGGTTACTACAGGAAGCGAGGGAAGAGATTGCTGCCCCTTTGGCAATATCTTTGCATCCTCACTGTCCACTGGAGTAGTGCCAGGAGATTGTCATTCCCTTGTTCAAGAAAGAGAATAGGGATAATCCTGGAAATTACAGACCGGTCAGTCTTTCTTCTGTGATGGGCAAATTATTGGAGAGGATTCTGAGAGATAGTATTTATGATTATTTGGAAAAGCTTTGGGTAGAAATAGTCAGCATGGCTTTGTGAGGGGCACGTCATGCCTTACAAGCCTTATTGATTTCTTTGAGGATGTGACAAAACACATCGATGAAGGTAGAGCAGTGGATGTGGTGTATATGGGTTTTAGCGAGGCATTCGATAACATTCCACATGGTAGGCTCATTCAGAAAGTAAGGAGGCATGGGATCCAGGGAAATTTGGCTGTCTGGATACAAATAGCTGGCTGTCCAATAGAAGACAGAGGGTGATAGTAGATGGAAAGTAATCAGCCTGGAGCTCAGTGACCAGTGGTGTTCCGCAGGGATCTGTTCTGGGACCTCTGCTCTTTATGACCTTTATAAATAACTTGGATGAGGAAGTGGAAGGGTGGGTTAGTAAGTTTGCTGATGACACGAAGGTTGGTGGAGTTGTGGACAGCGTGGAGGGCTGTTGTAGTTTGCAATGGGACATTGACAGGATGCAGAGCTGGGCAAAGAAGTGACAGATGGAATTCAACCCAGAAAAGTGTGAAGTGATTCATTTTGGAAGGTCGAATTTGAATGCAGAATACGGGTTAATGGCAGGATTCTCGGCAGTGTGGAGGAACAGAGGGATCTTGGGGTCCATGTCCATAGATCCCTCAAAGTTGCTACCCAAGTTGACAGGGTTGTAAAGAAAGCATATGGTGTGTTGACTTTCATTGGCAGGGGAATTGAGTTTAAGAACTGTGAGGTTATGCTGCAGCTCTATAAAACTCTGGTTAGACCACACCTGGAGTATTGTGTTCAGTTCTGGTCACCTCATTATAGGAAAGATATGGAAGCTTTAGAGAGGGTGCAGAGGAGATTTAGTAGGATGCTGCCTGGACTGGAGGGCAGGTCCTATGAGGAAAGGTTGAGGGAGTTAGGGCTTTTTTCATTGGAGCAAAGAAGAATGAGAGTTGACTTGATAGAGGTTTACAAGATGATGAGAGGCATAGAAAGAGTGGATAGTCAGAGACTTTTTCCCAGGGTGGAAATGACTATTACGAGGGGGCATAATTTTAAGGTGATTGGAGGAAGGTATAGGGGAGATGTCAGAGGTAGGTTCTTCACACAGGGAGTGGTGGGTGTGTGGAATGCGCTGCCGGCGGTGGTAGTGGAGTCAGATACTTTAGAGACTTTTAAGCGACTCTTGGATAGGCACATGGATGATAGTAAAATGTAGGGTATGCAGGGTAGATTGATCTTAGTAGGATAATAGGTCGGTACAACATCGTGGGCCAAAGGACCTACTGTGCTGTATTGTTCTATGTTCTATGTTTCTATGTTAAATAGATCCCAATGCAGTGAGTGTCACCAGTTGTGTGAATTGAGGTGAATATAGCTAAGCCTTAATGATTATCTCTGATTCATCCGTGCTGGTTAGCAAAAAAATTCAAGTAAAATACTCCCAATTGGTCTGGAAGCAGATCATCTTACTGATAGCAACAAAAGAAAATAATTTGTTTTTGTGTTTTGCAGGTGATGACAATGTACCTAACAATTAGTTACTTTTGAAGTGCATTTCTAAGTGTATTACTATGCAGGCAAACATGACTGCCAATTTGCCTAAGGCAGATATTACAATCAGCAACTGAAACAAATAACTGGTTAATCTATGTGGTGATTTTGGTCAAAGGTTACTTGTTGGCCAGGACACTGACAGAATTCCACTTCTCTTCTTTGAATATCGCTAAAAGATAGTTTACATCCTCCTGAATGGACAGTTGGTTGAACATCTCATTGGAAAATGGCACATCCAACAAGGCAATACTCCTGTTTTGTTGCAAAACACTCGATAATGGTAATGGATTTGTTCCATGCAAACTTGTTGACTGATGTCACCTGAACTCATTGGTTTCATTTCCAAATTTTTCTTAATATAACAATAAAACATAGTGATGATAGTTATAAATATTTCCAGTAATAATGGTTTCCAACTTGTTTTTATGAAAATAGTTGATACAAAGCTCCCAGGTGGATAAATGACAGTCTCTATCTGCTCCATGTATCAC